TTTTTTTTTTGTGGTTCCGGGGATCGAACTCAGGACCTTGCACTTGCCAGGCAGGTGCTTATGCCACTGAGGTATAACCCCAGCACAACAATCTTATAAATTATGTGTCCTGAATTAAATCTATTCCCTTGCAAACTCTGACTACAACAAGCCAAAAAATAGAAACCACCCGCCATCCATCAGCTGGTGAATGGATGGACAAACAAAATGTGATCCATTCATGCAACAGATTATTATTCAACAATGAAATTAACTTTTTCCATGCTACAATATAGATGAACCTTGGAAGCATTATGCTAAGTGAAAGAAGCCAAATGCGACCGAGGATATAGCTCAGTGGCATAAGTGCTTGTCTGGCAAGCCTGAGGTCATGAGTTCAATTCCCAGTACCAAAAAAAAAAAAAAAATATATATATATATATATATATATAAAAGACCACACCGTGTTTGACTCCACTATCTGAAATATTCAGAACAGGCAAATAAACACAGGAAGCAGATTAGAGGTTGCAAGGGCCATGGGGAGCAGCTCATGGGCAAATGTGCATGGGACTTTGCTTTGCAGAGATGAAAAGTGTTCTGGAATTAGTGGTGAAGACATTATGAGTTTGTGAATGTACTAAGAACCCATTAATTGTATAGTTTAAAAGGTGAATTTTATCTCATTTTTAGTGAAAAAGAACAGAACAGAGGAACTTCTGCTTTCAGCTCTGACATACAACTTAGAAGTCATTGCTTGTGCCCTTAAAACAAGAAATGGCTGAACACACTAAAAATCAACAACTTTTCTTTGACCCATCAGAGAACTAAAACCCACAGGAAGAGTCAGGCATCTGCAGCACAAAGAGAGAGCTCATCCAGAACTTGGTGAGTAGGTGCCTTGGTCTTGGACTTCCTGGCTTTCAGAACCGTGAGAAAAGAATATTCTCTTGTTTATGCCACTTGGTCTATGGTGTTTATTATAGCAGCAAGGCTGACTATCATACCGTTATAAAATACATGAAGAAATACAGCACTTTTAGAAATTTGACTTAAAATTGTTGCACATTGTGAGCTCTAGAGCAATTACTAGCATTTTCCTGAAATGAAATATTATTGATATGTTAAGGGAGGAGGGAAAATCCAATCATATATAACTGTCATTTAAAACTAGAGAAGTCAAAAGAGAGAAGATTTTAAAAGGAAATAAGGAATAAGTATAACAAAGACAAACAGTTATAAATATGGTAGATATTAGTCTCACTATCTGAATATTTGTTTCAAACACAAGTGATCTAATTACATCAATTAAAAGACAGAGTGACAAGATAAACTTTTAAAATACCCCATTTTATTTTATATTTTCTATAAAGACTTGTTCTAAATATGACATCCAAACAGTCTCAGAGTAAATGAATAGACAGTTCTAACACATAAATTAATTAAAGCTGGAGTAAATATATTAATTTTAGGATTTTGTACTACAAAATAAGGACAGTTATCAGGGACACAGGTGGGTCTCACATAATAAAAGGGGTGACTTTCTGAGATATATGTACCTAACACAAGGCATCAAAATATGGTGGGCAAAACTAATGAAAGGAGAGCAAGGTAGGAAAACCTATTATAGTTGGAGTCTTCAACACCTCTCTTTAGTAACTGATAGCTCAAGAAGGTAGCAAACCAGTAAGGACAGAGTTAAGAACGCTCCATCACCATATGTAATCGACATTTGTAGAATACTCCATCCGATAGTAGCATGCACATTCTTCTTAGGACTACATCCTGGGTCATTCAACACATCTTAACGCATTTAAGATAGTAGAAATCAAACATAGTATGTTTCAGATCACAATGAAATTAAACTAGAAATCAATCATGGAAAAATAGTTGGAAAATGTCCACATGTTTGAGTATTAAACAACTTACTCTTAAATAACCAGTGCGTGAAGGTAGAAATGACAAGTTAGGAAACACTTTCAGATGAATGAATAGAAACAAACAGAAAGAGACCTAACACAGACAAAAATTTGTGGGATGCAGCTAAGGCAGTACTTATAGGGAAATTTATAGCATTAAAATATATAGACTAGTATGGCTGAGATATAGCTCACTGGTGCAGTGCCTGCCTGGCAAGTGCAAGGTCCTGAGTTTGATTCCTACTACTCACTCCAAAAATATATATGGACTAGAAAAGAAGAAAGATCCCAAATGAATTATCTAAGTTAACACGTTAGGAAACCAGAGCAAAAAGAGCAAATTAAACCTAAGGCAAACAGATAAAAAAGAATAGGAAAAATTAGAGCAGAAACTAATAGAAATAAAAATAGAAAAATAAGAAAAATCAATAAACCAAAAGCTGGTTCATTAAAAAATACCAATGCAAGTAATAAACCTTTAGCAAGGCTAACAAAAAAAAAAAAAGAGAGAGAGAAAGAAGATTTAAACTGCCAGTATAAGAAAAAAAGAGGAACTATCATTACTGATCCTACAGTTATTAAAAGGGTAACAGAAATACTAAAAACAACACAGTTGGGTGAGATGGACTCACTCCTTGAAAGCTAAAAACTACCAAGACTTACACAAAAATAGATACTTTGAGTACCTATATTAGTAAATAATTAGTTTATGATTAGTAATCTTCCAATAAAGCAAGCATTAGTACCAAGGAGTTTTATTTGATGAACTATGCAAAACATTTAAAGACGAAATAGTAACAATTTCCCACACTTTCTTTCAGAAATAGGAAACATTATTTAACTCATTTCATGAGGCTGGTATTATCTTGTTACCACCACCATTTAAAAAAAGCAGGAAACGGTTACAAGAAGTAAAGACTACAGACCAGTATTTTCATGAACATAAATACAAAAGTCTTCATCAAAACAATAAACAAACACAGCGATGTATAGAAAGTCCAACGTCATCCATACCAGTAGGCTAAAAAAAAATCATATGATCGTACCAGTGATGGAGAAAAAGTATTTGACAAAGCCCGTTACCCAGATTTTGTCTTTCTGAGACATGGTTTCGCTATGCAGTTCAGGCTGGCCTTGAATGCACTTTGTAGCTCAGGCTAGCCTCAAACTCACGGTAACCCTCCTGCCTCAGCCTCCTGAGTGCCAAGATGACAGGCATGCACCACCAGGCCTGCTATGGTGCTTTTGTTCTAGCAGTCCAGCAGACCAAGACAGGAGAAGAATTGCCTCATTTTTCTTGAGAACATCTACACAGAAAGCCTTACAGCTAACATTGTACTTAATGGTGAGAAACCAAATGATTTCCCCCAAAATCAGGGGCAAGGCAAGGATGTTCTCTTCCCTACTCCTGTTCAATTGCACTGCAAGTCACAGGTGGTGCAATAAAATAGGAAAAAAAAAAAAAGAAAAAGAATAAAATGTATACAATTATTGGAGAATGAGTAGAACTGTATTGTCTGTAGACAACATGATTATTTATACAGGAAACCCCAAAGAATCATTATTACTAACAACAACAGCAAAAATAGCCCCCAAAACTAGTAGGTGATTATAATAATGTCTCAGGAGTCCAAGTTAATACACAAAAGTCAATAGCTTTCCTAGGTGCCAATCGTGACCAACTAAAATTTGGAATTAAACAATACCACTCACAACAGTACCACCCATACACAAAACAAGTGTAAGTCTGGCAAAATATATACACGTTAGAGGACGTATATGCTTAAGACTATAAAGCCCTGATAAAGGGTATAAAGATCTAAATAAACAGGTAGTCTATGTTCATGGATTGGAAGATTACAGAGTCCACAAAAGAAATGTCTACACTTCAGTAGTTCCAATAAATACCTGGAAGCTGATGGCCAGCTTTGAATACCTTTTTTTTTTTTTTTTTCCAGTACCGGGAACTGAACTCACGACCTTGGGCTTGCCAGGCAGGCGTTGTGTCGCTGAGCTAAACCCCCAGCCCCTCCAATACCTCTTGTAATCATAGAGTCCAAAGGTAACTTGTATTAATCTCATGATGTTGCAGTACGTTTAATATTAAAATAGCTATGCAAGTTTTTCTTTTCCTCATATATACTTTTTTTTTTGGCAAACTCTGTATTATTAAAAAAGTCAATTCTTCCCAACTTGATTTTCACAGAATCCCAGCAAACTATTTTATAGGTATTGAATAACTGATTCTAAAGTTTATATGGGAAGATAATAGGTCTAGAATAGTCAATATAATAGATAAGAGAAAAAAAAGCTGGAGCATGCTGACTGATCTGAAGACTTCCTACAAAGCTATCATAATCATGACAGTGTGGTATTGATGGAACAATCGATAAATTGGACAGAATAAAGGCTCAGAAAAACTCCACACAAATATAATAAACCTATCTTTGACAAAGGAAGAAAAGCAATTCTATATTTAAAAGACAGTAATCCAAAAACAGTATGGGAACTGTTGGACATGATGGCGTTGTGGTGATTTACCAGCCAGAACACCAAAAGCAGGATTCACGTGAGGGAAAAAAGTCAGACTTCATTAAAGTTAAAAACTCTGCGACACATGCTGTTAAAAGACAGGAGAAGAAGCCACAGAATAGGATAAAATGATTGCAAACAGCTATCAGATAAAGGATTTATATCCCAAATATGCAAGCAACTTGTAAAACTCGACAATAAGAAAACAAGCCTATCCAATTAAAAAAAAAAAATGGACCAAAGATCAGAGGACACACCTCAGCAAAGAAGACATACAGATGGCCAATATGCATGTGAAAAGATGGCCCAGAACATTTGACATTTGGGAGCTTTTAAAACAGTATGAGATGTAAACACATCTCTCTTAAAATGACTAAAATTCAAAAACCTGACACCGACCATTGCTGAGAAAGATGCGGAGGAATAGGCCCTCATAGGTATTGATGGTACAAATGCAAAACAGTGTAGATACTTTGGAAGACAGTTGGCCAGTTCCTTACACAGCCAAACATAATCTAACCACATAATCTAGCAATCCGGCTGCTGGTTATCTACCTCACTGATCTGAAATTTATGCCACAAAAAATATGGATAGTAATGTTTCAGCGATCTGTTTGTTATCCAAACTGGTGATTATGAAATAACAAACATGTCCTTCGGTGGGTGAGTATTAAACCAAAGATGGTGCACCCTGGCAGGCGAGTATCACTGACAATGACATTAAATGAGCCATATAATGGGTGGCCCTCACATGCCATTGCTAAAGGAAAGAAGCCATCGGAAAAGGCCGCATATCATCTGACTCCAGGGACCTGACATTCTATAAAAGGCAAAACTGCCGGGCCAATCAGAAGATCGGTGGCCGTCGGGGACCTGGGCAGGAAAGAAGTTGAATTGCGATGAAGCCTGAGGGATTCTTCGGTTGGTTTTTTCTGTAACAACACTGTCGCGGTGGATCGTGACACTGTGTGCTGATGGAAACCTGAAGAACTTTGTGACACAAAGAAGATACCTTAATGCCTACAATTTTTTAATTAGAAAGTTGAGGGGTTCCAGAATGAGCAAGGGAGGGGCTGGGATGCTGCGTGGTGATGCGTCCGAGTTGGATCATCAGCACAGACTCATGTTTAGTCAAATCCAGAATCACAGACACACTTATAGGCACACACGGATTAGCGTGTAACCTGCAGCTTCTGGCTCTGGCGGCCGAGAGGGCTTAGAGAAGAGAGCACCTCAGCACCGGTGAGCACGCCCAGTGCCCAAGCACCTTGTCCTCCAGGAAGAGGATGCAAGGACCCTCAGAAAGGCATTGATCCTAGGACTCCAGCGAGAAATATGCAGTGGGGCGTGTGTGCTGACCGTCTGGCCCTCTGAAGGGTTTTCTGATCTTTGCTTTAGGTTCCACATGTCTGCTTCCAAACCAGGCATGCAATGCTTCTTCCAGCTCACGTGCCAGCCTGCCTGGACCCCCAGTCGATGCACAGGGGGTAAGGGGCTCCCCTTCCCCTCCCTGCCGGATAGTGCGGAGCTGAGCCAAGCCTCCCCCCACCTCCTCAGGCAATTGCCAGCCCCTCCTACAGATGGTCCAGATGTTCACCGCTTCATTATAGAACAGGCTTGGTGTGAGGTGATTTGCTGAGCTGCAGGCTGACAGGTAAGCTGGGAGGCTCTGAGGGTTGGGGTGTTAAATACCTTTTCAGCTTGCAGCATTTTGGCATAAGTCAAGGAGTATCTGCACCCCTAACCTGTAAATCCATCCCCTGTGCATCGCTCCCTGGTTCTGAACAGCAGGCTGTCCTTGTCCTCAGTGTATAGGTGGCTGCCGGTTAGCGGACCGTCTCTAAAACCAGCATGGAGCTCTCCCAGGTCAGGGGTGGGGCAGGGTACTGGCATCTCTCAGCACCCAGCTGTGCTTGGCACCCAGCCATGCTCAAAAAATACTTGCGTGAAAGAGGAGACCTCCCCAGTGAGGAGTTGCCAACTCCGGGAAGAACCTAGAAGGTGCTTCGTGAGTGTCAGCTGTCCTGACATTGTCACCGTTCCAGAGCTGGGACAGCTGTCTGCTGGAGCTGTACCCAGTGGCAGGGGGCACCCTCTTGATTGCTGCCCGGGGCTCCTCTCCGGTGGGGAAGGCACCCTGCTCTGTCCTCATCGCCTGGGGGAGGCCATCCTGCCTCGTGTCAGCTCAGGACCTGCAAGCTGGTCCAGACGGTTCCGGGGGTGTCTGGTTATATGGGAAGCACCTGAAACCCGAGTTACTAGTGAGGGTGGCTGAGGTCTGTGTGTGCTGGGCACGGTGCGGAAGGCTTGGAGGTATTATGACACCAGGGCCAAGCATTGCCGATACTGCAGTATCTCCCCGTCCAGAGACAGGTGCCCAAGGGCCAGCAAGCGCATGGTCCCAGCGAGCGCCTGGCTCCGGAGCCAGCTGGGACACACTGGGTTTGAGGAACAATGTGAGTGTCTCCCCAGTTCCCTACAATCTGCGTTTGCTTGCACCAGAAGAGAGAACAGGGAAGGCCGATGGGTGCTGAGTTCTGCCTTGGTCCAATGGGCTGTGACTTCAGCCGGTGTCTTTCAGGGCACTGTGGTGTCTCTTGGGCAGGACGCCGTTCAAAAGCTTAGGAAACCCCAGGGCTGAGGCTGAACGGTGGTCGTCCTCCTGCTTGTCTCTACACCGGCTGAGGTTTTCATGGACTTGCTCACACATTAAAGATGCTTCTACTTAGAACTGAGCTGGACAGCTGTGGAGTGCGCACCGGGGGGCCCCACTCAAGTCCTCTAGGAAGACTTTAGGCATCTGTGCACCCCCTCCTCACTCCCAAATGTGTCCCTGTGAAGGGCGAACACCTGGAAGGACCGCACCGGGGCTGCTGCAAATATTACCTGTTGGTTTGCTCTGCTCCTGTGCACCGAAGGCCAGGAGCACCATGTGTCCACCTCCCCCACGGCAGCTCGCTCCACCACTCCCCACTGATCCCGTGGGGTCAGGCTAGGTGGGACTTTGCCTAGAGCCTCCTTTGCCCAACTTCTCCCCGCTTCAGTCCTCCCTTCCTCCCAGAGAGGGAAACATCCTTAATCCAATCCTGCATGTTCTATGTCTCAGGGCTTCTGGAAGAACTCTACCTGTACCAGTTTCTTTCTCGTAGACCTCTCCAGTGCTTTCCTGATGCTGTGGTAATCGGCGATTTCAAGAGAGAAGGGAAATATACAGTGTTTTGCAAACTCTTACCCACGAGCCACCCCTTTTACTGGAACTGTTTCCACTGAGCTCCGGCAATTCTTCCTAAACTAAAGCAAAGAGGCTGAACGAACTGTTCACACCCATGCAGCAGCTCTGAAGGCCCTCGGCCTGCCTCGGCAGGCATCCTGCGGTTGTACAGGGTTGCAGGGATGGGAGTCCGGAAGGGGTTCGCGCAACACAGCCAAAGAAGTGAAGAAGCCTTGTTCCAAAGAACTGTAAAATTTATTGTATAAGTATTGCAGCTTTTCAAAATGTCATCATTGCCACTAATGATTACTGATACACAACAAGCAATTTCTTCAGGCCTGTGGATGGCATCCAGAGACAGTCTTCACAGCTGCAACCTGGGTGCTGCGCCTGGCGAGTGCGGAGAGCTTACAGAAGTTTAACTCGAACAGAACTTGGGACACAGGGCTGCAGGAGAGAGAGTTCTAACGCCCCAGAGGCAACATGCAAGCATCGCAGTCAGAGCGACAGACAGACAGCCGTGGACGAGGCAGCAGAACGGAAGGCGGCGCCAGCCTTTGGAACTCCATAGTAGAGAGACACGCAGAGCACAGTATCCAGAAAACACAACAAAACCCAATGCATTTTCTTTCCACATCACTGGGGGTTTTTATAGTTCTGGGAGCTGTGTTGCACATAGAAAAAAAAATCTGAAACATACAATACACAGGGACAGGACCAACAAGGACAGGGAAGTGGATCTGGTTTGTGCCTTACCCCGTGGGGTCAAAGGGGACACCTTCAGCTTTTTGCCAAAATGCTGGGCTTGTGAAAAGATGCCTGGCTGTTAGTGCAATTTGCTAAGTCTGTTCTTACAGACCTGGGCTTTGCAGAAGCAGTGATTTTTCTCTGCAAGAAATGTGGGTGTTGATGGGTAGCAAACAAAGGGAGGGGTGGAGAGAGCCACATGCTCCCACCTGCTCTGGGCCCAGGATGGAGCAGCAGAACCCCCAAACCGATCTGGTCCCCCTCCAACCAGCCACTCTCCCCAAGGCCCCATCTAACTTCCTGCTGGAAAAGGGATGGGGGCCCCTGATGGATACTTCAAGGATAATGACACCTCGGCTTACAACTAGGGGAGATGGGGGGTCCTGAGAAGCCAAGAGCTCAGCTCCAGGAGCAGCTTTCAGATCTGGAAACACCCCAGCAGTTTCCTGGGGATGCACCATCTCCTCAGAGCCCTGCGCTGACATGTGAGGCATGAGCCCTGGAACCACCGACGTCTATGCTGAGTGTCAGCAGAGGGGTGGGTGCTGCAGAGGATGTCCCCCACTTTAGTAAATGCAGACCACACCACAGAGCAACAAGAGTCCAACGGTCTGGCATAGGGACAGTAGGATACCTCAGCCCAGCTTTTGGCTGATGCCACGCACACAAATGAGGTGCATTTTTCAGGTTTTCAGCTCAAGTGGGAGTTACGCACAGCCCTTGACTAAAGAGGACGCTCGGACAAGAAGGGTCGCCTCCCTGAGCAGGGCGCATCTCTGGTGGAGGAGGCAGGAGGGTGACAGGGATGTTTCAAAAGCAGCAGGAACCCTCTAGGACTAGGGGAGGGGCTGCCAGACCTGGTGAGCTAGGCGGTGCCCAGGGACATCCCCACCCTGAGACAAGAGAGATACCCATCCTTGGTAAGACACCAGGGACACCTGACGAAAAGGAAAAAACACCTTGGGAACATCTTTGTGTCCCTGCACCTTCCAGGACAACCATTCCGACTTCTCTGCAGGACTTCTGGAAAGAACCCTCTACAGGGGGAAGTGGACGTTAGGCTAAAAGCCCACAGGAAGCCCGGTTCTGCTCTTGTCACATGTAAGAAGTGTCCTGCCGGTCACTAAGCTCTTGACGTGGACACATTGAGGTCCAGGGATCAGAATTTCAGAACCGTTTTCAGGTTGTATTTTTCAAGTAATAAAAAAAGAGGTTGCTTGCAACTGTCACTGCCTCTTTATCTTTGTTAGTCCACTCCTCAGCATCTGTTCCTCACGGAAGTGGATGCTTCCTGCCCTTCTGGCGGAGTAAGATCACTCCCTGGGCTACTAGCAAGTCCACCCTGGGGAGGAAGGACTTCAGGTGCAGCCATTGTCCCTGCCCGTCCCAAGGGGCTCCTCTGGCACTCTCCCTTGCCACCTCTGTTTACCGGTGCCCATTTCTGCTCTGCCACTTGCGTGCCACCACCGCGGGGTGCAGTCACCCCAAAGCCACTCAGCAAAACCCTGGCACAAGAGAGGCCCGTGGAACCACCGACAAATACATCACATACAACTGTGTCCAAGACGATGCGGAAGACGCGGGGCAGGAGAAGGTAAGGATTTCTGCTAAAGCCTGACGCACGGGTGTGTGCTGGTTTGACTGTTTTGTCTTTTTCTTTTCTGATTTAACACTTTCACACATCCTGGGAGAAACCTGGGCTTGTCACCTTCGCACCTCGGATCATCGGTTTATTGTGAAAATCGAGATATAAAAGGCCACGGGATGAGCTCAAGTCGCTAATACTTTGGGCCTTTCCTACAAGTCAGGGTACTGTCCGAGCCCGGATGCATCCTGCAGCCTGCTGAATCGCCCCCAAAGCTACCAGCACCCGCACATCACCTGAGCCTCAGCCTGCCCGGGTGCCAAGTGCAGGGACAGCTGCAGCCTGCAAGGGGCGCCTTGCCCCTTCCCACAGGGACCTTTCTAGCTCGTAACAGAGGAAGAAAAACTTAAGATTCCTTCGGTAACAGTTTATTTTCATTTTGGGAAAGGCAAAAACCACCACCTGGACCCTGGTGCCTCTGGGGTAACTTTGGATTGCTCTGCATCCCAAAAGCTATTCTGGCCCAGAGGGAAAACTCGTATCCCCGCTTTGGTAGGGAAGAGATCGCACGGCACCCACCTATCCCTAGACAGAGGCGTCTCGCTCCGGGAGGCGGGGCGGGGGGCCTGACCTCGACTGAGTCTATGACCCTTCCCCCTCCAACTCTCAACAGACATGATAGAAGTTTCCATCAAACAAGCACTGACATATTTATATTAAAAAATAGTGCAAAATCTCAACATTTATATAAATAACTCTAAACCCCTGCTTTGTAGTTTTTTTTCTTTACAAGGTAATACACACTTTCTGAGTTGGCACTCAAAAATTGCCATTTTTTTTCCGCTTCTAGTTCAGAAAACAACTTTTTTTTAATAAGCCTCTTCTAATACAAAAATACTCCTGCCCTCGCACATAGTTTTCTCTCATTTTATATATATTTTTATATATATATAATATTGCAGATCTTTAAACAAAGGTTTTGTGCAAATATGTCTTTAAAGTTAAGTGAAATCATCATAAACAAAAGAAAATTAAGCATTCACGCACGCAGCTCAACTAGAAACAAAAAAAGACTACTGTAGAATTTTTTCTTTTGCCTTCAAGACACGGCTCAACAAAGAAACGTGGATTTTTTTGTTTTTCGTTTTGTTTTGTTTTTTGCAAGCTTTCTGCGCTTGTGCATTCAGACCAGACATAACATGTAAATATTTATACACAGAGAGGCGGGTGTCACACGCAGCATTTCCCGTGTGTCGCCCTGTTCGCCTCTCTTTCTCTTCTAGGAAGTGCGGAGTGTTTGCCTTTTTACCCACAGCGGCCCTGGCCCGCCCCCGGGGCTCCTAGAGGGGGTGTCCTTTCTGTTTCTCCTTCTCTTTGCTCTCCAGGGGGGTGATGTGTGGGTGCTGGATCCGGGTCCCCTCCAGCAGGGAGGGCGGCCCGTGGCTTTGCTGGTGCTGGAAGGAGGATCCAGGGTAGTGACCGATGACCTCGCTGTAGGTGGGGGGCGGTCCCTCCATGCGCCCGCCGCTACCGTAGCACGTGGCGCTGATGCCCGAGTTACTGCTGGGGGGACAGGGGCCGCCCAGCATGGCGCTGTCCATCAGGTCACTGTCGAAGATGGTTCTGTTGGGGGGCGCGCGCACTGACTCGCGATTCAGCTCCAGCTGCTGCTCAGGGTCCCGAAGCTGGAGGGTGCAGGGGCCCTGGTAGGGCGGGGGCTCCTCTCCATCCGACAGTGAGATGGTGGGCGGCAGGTCGATCTCGTGCTGCAGGTAGGGGTAGGTGGGCTGGAAGCGGTGGAAACGGTCCCGGGGGGCGAAGGGCGGCACAGCCAGGCGGTCAGCAGGCCGAGGCGGTGCATAGACCTGCGGCTGGAGCAGCAGAGCGGAGTGAGGAGGCGGCAGCCTCAGACCCAGCCCGAAGGCACACAGGACATCCAGCTGCCCCAGCTCCAGGGATAGCCGAGCCACAGGGCAGCTGGGGAAGGAGTCCTCACCCCCACAGCTGTACCACCCTCCTGGGGATGGGCAGCCTGTGTCCTCCAGGTGTGGACACAGCGGGTGCTCCTTCAGGGCCAAGGGCATGTGGCCTGAGATCCGCACAGTGAGTGCAGAGGCGGCTGGGGGGAGCTCGGAAAGCCAACCCTCTCCCTGCAGTGCTGGGAGGGGTGAGGCTGGCGGGCAGCGGGTAGGGGTGCTGGAGCTTACCTCAGGGATTCCTCCGGCCGACACTGTGCTCTCTGAGGGCCACAGGCATCCTTCCTGCAGTGGGGGAGACGGACAGGAATGTCAGGGGGTGGGCAGGGCAGGGAAGGCAGAGGGTACTCCTGCTTCAACCCGAGACTTTTCTCCTGGCCATGCCTGGAGGTCAGGACCCCATGAGGTCTGCACAAGCCCCTCCCTCAGCTGCCACCGCTGTTCCCTGTGGCCTCAAGCTTTCCGATATACACTGAGTTTGCCTGCCCCTCACCACCGAGCCCACAGCGGCTTCTTCTCATGGGCTGAAGAAAACCCTAACCGGCTCGTAGAAAGTGCAGCGTGACCTGGCCCTTCCCACTGGCTCGCTGTGTGACCCCCTAGGGATAAGTTCTCTAACTCTGATGCCAGTTTCTGCACTGGAAGTATGGGCACATACAACCCCTGCCTCGTGGAGTTGCTGAAGAACTTAACAAGTTAAAAACCACCCAGGGCCCATAAGACCGCCAGGGAATGGGCGGAAGTCGGACGCCGCTGCTGTACTCCCTCCAGCCAGAGACCGGTTCTGTTGTGTCCCACAGGCTAGCATGGGGCCCGTGGACTGGCTGTCTCGTCGTGGCCAGCTCCCTCTGGACGCTCAGCTCCCCAGATGGCTGAGGCAGGGATGTCTTAAGTTCTATAGTTTGGTGGAGATCAAATTGAAATGCGATAAATGCACATATTCAAAGTACACAATGTGCTCAGCTTGGACACCTGTATAGATGAGGTAGCCATCACCACGCAATCAGGATAATGAATGTAGCCACTGCCCAATCAGCTTCTTTGGGGACGCGTTTTCCTGAGGGTCCCCACGTAGGTAGTGTCTCTCGCCTGCAGTGTGGGTAGGAACTGTCAGAGGTGGCAGTTTGCTAGGCAGCCACTAGGGGGCCCCAAGGCCCTCAGACTGTCCCAGCTGGACGGCACTTGTGTGTAAAAGGGGTCACCCTTCTCACTCCCTCACCTCGTTCCCTAATTCACTGACCGGCCCTGACACCTTTCGAGTTTCACAAGCAGAACCATGGAATCGCTCCTGACAGCTCACTCTCTGCGCGGACCCCCATTCCACCCACCCTGGACCACGCAGGTCTCTCAGACCTACTCTGGGCAAACCAGCGGCAGGCCCAGTGGGACAAAGATTCTGCAGGATGCTGTGTGGGGGGCTGGCCAGAAGCCTCTCTTCCAGGGCCCCCGAAGGTCTCCAGAAGGGCTCCTCTCCCACCGCCCCTCCTCCCCACTGGGCCCTCGGGGCGCACAGAAGCCGGAGGATCCCTCCACCCCCCGCCCCACCACTCCTTGGTTTAAACCAGTGATGGCGAACCTTTTAGAGACTGAGTGCCCAGACTGCACCCCAAAACCCGCTTACTTATCAAGAAGGGCCAACACTGCAGTTAAACCCGAATTCTGCTCTGAGGCTCGCCTGCCAACAGAAAAGGCTCTGCGTGCCCACCGTGGCATGGGACAGAGGCTCACCACCACCAGCTGAAGGCCTTCCCACCGCCCCACCGCTCCAGGACCAAGTCCAGCCCCGCACACGGACCCACGCGCACAGCCTTGCAGCCCTCCGGAACACGGCATCTCCTCCCACCACGCCCTCCACCTGGGTCACGGGCCGAGAAGCTCCTACAGTGCGCACCCTCGAGCCCCCTGGGCCCAGCCGGGCCTGTCTCTGTGTGACTGTCTGTTTGTGTGACTGTCTGTTCGTGTGACTCATTCACCCTTCGGGAGCTATGACAGTCACAGCCGAGGCTGCCATGTCCCCAGTGCCCAGCATCCAGCGTGGAGTTCAGTCGGCGCCTAAGTAGCTGGGTGGCACTAGGTACAACTGTGTCCTGAGCAGTGAGGCACGAGCTTCAGAATCACCCCAACCCTCCCCAGCCCTGGAGCTTCGAGCAGACATTTCCAGGGGAGGAGGAGGAGGGGAGGGCAGGGTCAATCCTGCGGCTGTAGCTGAGCTGACCATCCCCTGCCCAGCAGCCCGCAGGCTCCCAGCCGTCCCTCCCTCCCTGGGAAACCACCTGTCCCGCTGCCCTCTGCCTCCGGGGGCTGCTCCTTGTCCACCTCCCCTGGCTCCCTCCTCTCCTGACACCTGCTGTGTTCTGGCCCCTGCTGTGTAAACGCTTCCGCAAGGCAGGTGTATCCTAACCCCACCCCACATCTAGACAGGGGCCAGCTATTTCCATAAAGGGCCAGTGTGACATGATTTCTGCTTTGTGAGCACCTGGTCTGCCTCCCCAGTCAACTCTGCTGCTACAGCCAAATTCCTATGAAGGACTATGTGTGGCTGTGTGCCAATAAAACTTTATTTACAAAATCAGTCTGCTGGCTCTCTGGCCAGACCAAGATTTGCTGACCCCTGCTGACCCCCACCCGCCTTCACCTGCAGGCTCCTGGGGCCACCACTGGCTGAGATGATCACCCTAGACCTCTCAGGAGCCTTTAGCTCCTTGTGGCCAGGTGAAGCTTTGATTCTTCCCTGTGACTTTGATTCTTTGATCCTTGGTAACAGTCGTACCCCCTAGGAGAGAGGACCACCATCGACTGCAAGCCAAACACTGCAAACTGCAAGCCAAACATGTGGCCAGGTGCCTCTGGTCAGGACACGGCCTGACACAGGCCTGCAGCCCCTGAAGCCACAGGGCCGGATCCAGCTTTTGGCCCCTCTCCCGGCTGACCACTGCGCCTGGTCTAGGGGGCGGCATTCTTCCTGGCCCCTGGGAAATGGGCCCTCAGCAGGGTGGGCTCCTGTGGGGAGTGGAAGATCAAGCTGAGAACTGACTCGGGGAAAGAGGGATAAGAGGGGCAGGCTCCCGCTGTCCCAGGCCCTGGTCAAGATGGCCTTATGTACAAACACTTGGCAAGGGAGCCGCGGAGAGGTGGCGCCTGCAGTGGGGATCCACTAGCAGCTGCAGGAGGAGGGGAGGACGTTCAAAGCGGGGTGACCCAGTGTCCAACCCGACTCGCTTTACCGATGGGGACCTGTGTCACACAGCGAAAGATGACCTGTGGGTGTTCTGAGGGGGAGTGCTGGCTACATGCAGTGTGTGTGTCGGGGGGGGCGGGTGGGACCAGGGGTCGCCCTGAAAGGGGAACGGTGTTGAGTCTGGGTGGGCAGGCAGGATGCAAGCCGGGTCCCAGGCAGACAGCAGCTGTGTCTCAGTCTCTCCGGGAAGTCACAGGGCCCAGAGACTCCTCAGACACACTGTCTGGCTGGGGGCCCCAGGGGGGCCCCACCACCGCCTCCACTGGGCCTCACCAGGCTCCGTGTGTACCCAGCCCGGCGTCCCTGGGGTTTGCACCGGCGGCTGGGTAGGCAGCGGGGTGGGGGTGGGGGCTTTCTCATCACTAGGCGTCTGGGAAGCCAGGGCCAGAATCCTGCCTATGTTGGCAGCTGACCCCGGGTGCTGCCTGGGGACAGCAAGGTCACCCCACACCCTCAGCCTCTGTTTGCACCCCCTAAAATCTCACCTATCTTTATCCTCCCTAAAATGGGCCACAGGCCCTTCACACAGCCACTGACGAGCTACGGGGCCTTGGGCAGCCGCTCCACCTCTGAGCTTGTTTTTTCTCTGAAGTGGGGCGAGCCTGCAAGCTGCAGACGGCAGGCGCGGCACGCAGGATGCTTGCAAGCAGATGGCATCCCTGTTGCTGGGGTGACGACAACAGCAAACAAGAAGCCAGGGGAGCCCGGGCTCCAGAGGCGGCAGATTCCTCCGGAGCAGATGCGGAGTTTGCCCCGCGGACGCATGCCGGGCGGGGTTGGGGTGCCTGGAGTCCCCAGGAGAGGTGCTGCCGCAAATGCCCTCGCCCTGACGACCTGGTGACGCACCGAGGCCGGGCCTGACGCGAGCAGAGATGTTCAAACCTGCCAGCGACAGCCCCGCTGGCTCGGGCCGCCGCCAGCGCCGACTTGGCTCAGCCCGCAGACACCCGGTGCCACTGCCAGCCCCAGGCGTCCCCAAGACCTGAGAGCCCTGCCCAGCGCTGCCTGTCCTGTGCCCGGCGAGCACCAGCTTGGCTGCCCACACGCCGCCTGCCTCCTCCCTGACACGCCCCGCCCCGCCTGCGGACAGCTGCTTCCCTCCCGCCTCGGCGCGCCTGCGCTCCTCAGGCAGGCGCGGGGGTGGGACCATTGAAGACAGCGCTGCTGCGGGCAGCAGCTGGAGGAGACCCCACAGCAGAACGGAGCGCTCCAAGGGGGGCCAGGGACCCCGACCCCTGACAGCTGACTTTCTTCAGTCTTTGGGGGATGCCTGTGGGGTTTTCAGGGGCATGTGAGGGTGCTCGAGATTCTGACACCAAAATGCAAGATTAGCGGGGACAGCAAGGATTTCTCCCAGTACGGGATCCTCGGGATAGGTCCCAGCATCCGAGATAACCCAAACCTGCGGATCTCAAGCCCCTGTAGAAAAGGGTGTAGAGCTTCAGGGGGCCCCAACACATCCTTCTCTGTCCTTCAAATAACCTCTACACGACCTAGCTCCAGTGCAGCATGCAACCTGTGAAGCAGCTGGTGCGCCTCACTGTTTAGGGAACGGTAACAAGGGATAATCTCTGGGGGAACTCACTTCTTTCAGATATTCTGTTCGTTTATAAGAGTCCTGGCAAACAGTTCAGGCTGGACCTGAACTCCCTACGTTGCTCAGGCTGGCCTTGAACTTGTGGCCATCCTCCTGCCTCAGCCACCCAGCATTGGGATTACAGGTATGAGCACCAAGCTTGGCTCTCTTTCAGAAGTGAAGTGTGAGGATCCCTAGGAGAGGGCCCATGCTATTCTGTCCCTCCCGCACCCTGCAGTGCGTCTTTATAGAACAGCTGGGCCCAGGGCTCTCAGGCAGCCGCACCCCTCTACCGAGATGTCCTCTGTCTGTGCCTGACTGCGTGGAGCATAGCAATGGGTGGACAGGGGACTTTCCAGGAGCAAGGACCCTGCCCTTACCCCGTGTCGACTCCAGGTCCTCTGGGCAATGGACACCACTGCCAGCCCCTGTTGCACGTGCGGGGACTGAGTCAGGGTTCACGAACTGGGGCCTTGCCAAGGGCGCACAGCTGGGAGGGCAGAGCTGGGCAGAGGCCTGGTGCCCTTGGACAGGGCAGTGTCAGTGACCACAGGGCAGCTGTTGGCAGGGTGCTGGCACAAGGGCAGAACCTTCTCCGCCACTCGTCTTTCTGGGCAGAGCCAGATGCCAGCTGTGTGTTCCTCCTGGCTGTCCCGCCAGGCTCAGACTAGCATGCCGCCGCCTGACCCACTTACCTCAGCACAGCCGCCTTTGGCCTCCTCCCTCCTGTCCCCCTCGGGCCGAAGCCCAGGTGAAGATGGACCTTAGCCTGCCCCTCTCCTGGCCTGGCCCCACGTGTGGGCTGTGGGACAGTGAAGCTCCCTCTGTGGCTGGCCACCCCAGGCCCCAGAGCCACAGACGGTACACCCCCCCACACACCCCAAACCCTCGCAGTGTCCCAGCACACGCATCTCAGGGAGGTCACTGTGGGTGCTGTCACTCCAGGACGGGAGGAAGCCACACCAGGTGGGTCTCTTGGCCTCCCTCTTCCTGCCCCCAAACCAGGGTACCTGCGAGCACCCCCACAGTACCAGGGTGTCCCCCGCCGAGGGAGGGCCAGGACGCAGCGCAGGTCGGGATAGTCACTTACCGAGGAGAGGCCATCGTCCCTCCTGCGGCCCTGGCTGTGCCGGCTGATGAAGGAGCGCGCAGACAGCTTGTAGTGGCTCAGCAGGCACGTGATCACCACCACCATCACCATCATCACCACCACGATGACGAGGATCTGCACGAACTCCAGCTCCGCTGTGGGGACAAGGGCACGCATGAGGCCCTGTGGCTCCGACTCTGTCCCGCTCAGGTGCTTACAACCGCTGCGGACCTGGAGCCACAGGGCTGAGACGGGTGGTGGGGGCAGAGATCCCTTCCCATCTGCCCGGGGTTGGGGACAGCTGCTCTCCTGGGGTCCTTCGTTTGTAGAACCTGACTCCCAGGAGTATGGAGACACTTGAGGACCTGACCCCCAGAGTACGGGGACAAGCGGACCTGACCCTTGGGAGAGGACCTGGGGAAGAGCTGCCTGCAGGTAGGGGCAGCCCAAGTGTGGAGGGCGAGCGAGGGCCAGGTGTGGGGCAAAACAAAGCAGTATGTAGCATGTGGGTACACATCCGTGTTCTCACACACTGTACCCGTGGCAACACCCTATGTACCCCAAAACTCCTACATACACCCCAACACTCCTACACTCTCCCCAATATATATGCTAATACTCACACACCCCAGCATACATGCTAACACTCCTACACACCCCAAAACTCCTACATACACCCCAACACTCCTACACTCTCCCCAATATATATGCTAATACTCACACACCCCAGCATACATGCTAACACTCCTACACACCCCAAAACTCCTACATACACCCCAACACTCCTACACACTCCCCAATACACACAGTAACACTCCTACACACACTCTAACACATACCCCAGCGCTCCTACACACTCCTGCACACATGCTAATGCTCCTGTACACCCCAAAACAGTACCCAACGTTCTATATGCACTGCAGCACATACCCCAACACTCTTCTATGCGCCAAAAACTCAACATCCCAATCCTATACACATGCTGCAAACACAGAACACACATCATGCGCCCACACACAGCACGCACTTAGCAGACGGGCACACTCTCAGCAGGACCGGGCTGTAAGGACCCCTCTCGGAGAAGAGGCCTCATGGCTAGAGATGTTGCAATTCTTGGTTTTTTAAAGGATCTGTTTGTGGTGGGGAGGGTGGGAAGGTGGAAAAGCCCTCAGGCACTGGAAGGGGAAGGTTACTTCCATCCTGCCTGAGCCGGGTGGTTCTGCTGACTCTGCAGCTGGCCCCAGTCAAAGCCAGCAGAGACCCCAGCGACGGGCAAGATGCCGAGCACCTCGGAGGTGATGTGTGGAGGGAGGGGCAGCAGCCAGCCCTGCCAGGGTGCACAAGAGGGTGCCTCCCCAGCTGGCCCCTAACAAGCCATGAGCCAAGGATGCCTGAGGCCACAGGTCCAGTGCAAGGCCACTGCCCCTCCCCTCCCGGGACAGGAGCTAGGGAGGAGGGAGTGGAAACACACACTTCAATCCCCAGGGCCCCCCCCTTCTGGTCCAGCCCGGAGCCCTCCCCAGGACTCCAGCAGGAGGATAGCCTGTCCCAGCTGGCCACTCTGCTCTTCCCCAAACTGTCCACTGCCCCATGCCCTCGGGAGCCTCAGCCTCCAGCACTCCGCAGGAGGCTGGTCAGTGCCGCCCTCCACATTTGCCGCCAGGGCAGAGGTGACCCTGCCTGGGATATTTACGGAGTCACAACTGGCTAGGAGTGAGGGGATGAAAGACACTCCTGAGCATTCCCCGTGGCCCCAGGTGTCACCACACAGAGAAGGTCAGGGGCAGAGCAGCCCCAGGCACATCGCAGCACCCCGGACGGAAGATGCAGCTCCTCCCTTGGCTCAGCCTGCTTGCCGTGGGATTCAATGCTGCTGGGGTTCTAGCTCATGCTCCTGGGCTGGACACGTTCCCCTCCCACCCTGGAGGGCCAGGCGGCGGGAAGGAGGAGCCAGGGGCTTTGGGAAGATGTGCCCAAGCCCTGAGAAGCTGGAGGCCCGCCTGGTGGGGTCCCTGGCTCCCCGAGCTGCCTGTGGACGTCCTCAGGGGTATAAGCGCATGGGACCGGTCACTGTGGCCACACCTCCTCCTGTCTATGTCCTGTCTAGGGTCTGGGCAGTCTGGCCCGATTCTGCAGGGCACAGGTCTGTCTGCTGGGCCCCAGGATAAAGCCTAGCATTCAGGGGACACACAGGGCCAGCTTTGTGCAACACCCACGCGCCCCCCGAGGGCCTGCAATTCCCTCCCCCGCCCAGTGTACTCTTCACCCCAGCTGGGGACACCCCGCCTCCCGCCTGCTGTCTCCAGGGCCTCTGCCCTCGCCAGCCCTGCAGGGAGGGAGGTGTGAGCTGCCTTTGTCCTGTCCCAGGCCCTGGCATCCCACAGGGCCACTGTGCCCGGACTGCAGGCAGGGAAGCAGCAGGGCAGAGCTGGGTCCCTCCGGCCCACACTTAGATGCCTCGTGGATCCTGGCAGAGGAAATGGGATCCATTCAGACCCTGCAGGACCTGGCACACGGTGGCCACTCCCCAACCTCTCTCGAGAAGCCAGAAACCATCTGTGAAGCTGCCCGCTCCTTCAGGCTGGCAGCTAAGCCCAGGGAATTTGTGAGGACAGTGGTTGGGGGGTCTGGCCAGGACAGGCCCCAGGTCACCCCACTATTAATGGTACGGACACAGCCACATGCTCCCGCTTCAGTTTCCCTAATCTGACCTTCTGCACCCCAGTTTACACATGCAGAGGTGGGTCCTGCCACTCCCGTGTCTAGATGTTCCCCTAAAGCCTCATGTGGTCATAGGCGGGGCTTCTTCAGAGAAGGCTGGACCCAGAGAATGTGACTGATTCATGGTGCAACGCTGAGATTAAGGGTAGTGGGATCGAGGCTGTAAGCACTACCTGCCCTGAGGAGCCTGGATAAGACAGGCACAAGGGGCAGGAAGAGCTGTGGTCGCCCCTTGTTTGCTTGCTTTTGTTGTCTTCTGCCCTCCAGGAGCTGTTGCCCCTCTGCTATGTGCCACCCTGCCTTGGAGCCAGCCAATTGTGGACGGAAAAAAACATAAACTGTGAGCTAAATAAACCTCGCCCCCTTTAACTTTGGGTGTCTGGTATTTTGTCTCAGCAACAAGAAAAAGTAAGACAACTCCCTCCGGATCCTGGCTCTCAGCTCTCCTGTGCCGATGGGACTCTCAGCCGCCAGTCACACAGGGGACAGGCCAGGACTGACAGGTGGTCTGGTCCACAGCCCGTGGTCACTGTCACGATTCCCTGTAAGAACCGTCATGATTCTTCCCCCACTGCAACATACACCCAGCACAGCTACTCTGAGCCTCCCCCAACTCCGGTACCATCACCATTCCCATTTTGCAGGAGAGCAAACTGAGGCTTGGGGAGAAGATGGTCCAGGTCACACAACCAGAAAGAGCAGGGCTGTGCCCTGAGCCTCCCTGACAGCTCAGAACCAGAAAGGGCTTCATCCCCTGCTAATTCTCCCAGCATCCCAGAGCATGTGTTATTTTCCCATCCGTATCTTGGATGCCTGTGAGGATGCAGCACCCTCTGGACCGCTGAGGGACCCAGGATACATCACCTCTGGGAGCTGAAGGTCCCCCATCTAAAACCGAAGGCACCCACGTGGAGACCAGAGCTCAGAACATTAGCATTCGAGCAAGCACTCCACTCCATGGCTGTCACGTTACCGCATCCTTTCGGGGATGAAAAACACCCCACATTCCTGCAGATGCCCCCGGCAATGCTGAGGTTTGTTGGGCCTGCGTGGTATCCATAGGCCTTTGAGCAGGCGTTCCGGGAGCAGAACACGTTTCCTCCCGTGTCTGGGTGTCACACCTGTGCTCATCACAGGGACCGTGTGCAGGGGCTCCTGCCATTTTTCTTCATATTTTTTCCCTTGGGGAGGGTGATGAATGTGCCAGGCTCTCAGGGTGACCAAGCCCATCTTCTGCACAGGGAGGTCACTCTCCTTTCATTTGGCATCCTCCTTCCTCGCGAATAATTTCAAATTAACAGGTCTGCCTGCCTCGTGAGAGCGGCCCACTGCCCCCTTTTGTATTCCGAGTGGCCCGTCGGAGAGGCTTGACCTACTGTCTGGCTCTTTTCCAGCTGGGCTCGCACGAGGACAGAGGTGCTGTGCTCCGGGAGGCCCTCAGCGCCAGGCTCCGGGCTGAATGCTTACTGAATCTCACCGTCTAACACGACTTCCCTTACGGAGGTGGAAGGAGGTGGAAAGAGGTGGAAGAAGGCTAGGCTCCAACTCGTGATCTTCCTGCCTCAGCTCCCCAGAGTGGTGGGATTACACATGTGCACCACCACACCCGGCTTCACCCAGCACGCCCACCAAACTCGCGATGCTGTAAGAGACACTGGTGGTGTGGAAGCAGCTTTGTGGTCCCCTTTGGTGGCACGTCGCAGGTGCAGCCATGCAACTGCGAGCCTGCCAGAGCCTGCCTCTGTGACCAAGGAAAGAGTCCTCATCAGCTGTCACTTGGACACGAGTGACAGGGAAGACTCGATTTTTTCCCACCCTTGGTGTCGGGCGGGGCCTGCCCTGAGCAGAGCTGGAGAAGCAGCCTCAGTGAAAAGCCAAGGGCTGCTTCCCAGGGGCTGTGGCAGGGCAGTTCGAGGCTGCCGCGTGTGCAGAGCGCGCCGGCTGCAAGTGTCACCGAGATTTCCGTAAATAATCGGAGCCGCCGTGGGTGCTGAGCTCGCATCCATCTCCCTGGCTACAGAGCTGGGCAGAGTCCACTCGGCTCCAGCCAGCCCCTCGATGGGGGTTTCAGACCAGACACCCCCCACGGTCCCCGGGGGCTTTCCCGGGGGCGGGCGCCGCGTCCTTCCCAGTTAACAGCAGCCCTGCTCGAGGCCCTGTCTGGCCTCCTGACCGCACACCGAGGACTCAGGAACCGGCACTGTCTGAAATTTATGAAAATCTAATCTTGTTAGGTCTGCCTGGATGAGACTCGCCGGGAGGGCCGTGCTGTCACTCCGCAGAGCCCCGCCTGGCTGCGGCCCCTCCTCCCCGCTGGCCTGATTTGCATAAGAACCCAGCCCCCTCAACACACCCTGAATTTCAAGTCAAACTGAACCAGATGTCAAAGGAGTAACTTCCTGATCAGTCTTGGTGCCCTTTCAAATACCGGCCA